GGTCTCCAAGCTCCTGTTTATTACTTTTATTTGGTCATCCATCTGTGGGTGGTAGGCGATGCTCCTTTTTATAACTGTCCTCTGTAATTTGAACAACTCCCTAAAAAAATGGCTGATGAACACCTTATCTCTATCTGATACTATCGCCTCTGGTACTCAATGCAATCAGACCACCTCTGTGATGAAAGCTGAAGCCACTGTTACTGCGGTGTATGGATGTCGGAGGGGATTGAAATGAGCATACGTGCTTAATCTGTCCACCACCTCCAAAATCATCGTGAAGCCTTTTGAACGGGGCAGCCCATCTATGAAGTCCATGGATAGTTTGTCCCCCTCTAGTGAGTACCCTGGTGGCTACCCCATTCCCTCAGTAAATTTGGCATGACCTTTCCCAACTCGTAATCTCTAGTGCTCTCCTCCTTGATGGTCTCCTAATCTAGCATCAAAGAAATTGATGCTGCCACTGTCTACAACTCCCCCATACATCTTGACAAGGCATCTGCTGCCTTTTTCTTCATTCCTAGTCGATATTGGATTTTAAAATCATACTCCAACAATTTGGACAGCCACCTCTAATTCTCCTCAGTCACCATTCGCTGCTCCAACAAGTACTTCAGGCTCCTCTAGTCGGTTCTGATAATGAAATGCCTACCTAGCAGGTAGGGTTGTCACTTCTGGATGGCTAAGATGATGGTCATCAACTCCCTCTCATAGATTGATTTCAGCCTGGCTCTGGCTGTCAACACCTGGCTGAAGTAGGCAATGGGTCGACGATTCTGCATGAGTACTGCCTCCATTCCATAATTTGAAGCATCTGTCTCCACTATGAAGGCCTGAGTGAAGTCTGGTAAAGTCATTACTGATATAGTAGTCATAGTCTTCTTCAGTCTCTCAAATGCTGTTGTGGCCTCCTCCCCCTATAAGAACCCATCTTTCTTCATCTGCTCTGTCAGTGGCCATGCTATAGTGCTTTACCTTTTTACAAACCTCCTATAGTACTTCGTCAGTCATAAGAATCCTCTCAGCTCCTTCAAATTCTTAAGCAAGGGCCACCTTAACATAGCCTCAATCTTTGACTGATCGGTTGCCACCCCTTCTTTGGACACAATATGACTCAAATACTCCACACTGGTCTGGGCAAAACAATACTTCTACAGGTTAGCTCTCAGCTGATGCTCCTGCAATAACTCCAACACCCTCCTCAAATGCTCAAGACAAACCTCCGGAGGTAATGTTTGAAAACCTTGTTCATGAGTGATTAGAAAGTGGTTGGAGTGTTGGTGAGACCAAAAGATATCACCAGGAACTCCTAGTGCCCCTCATTAGTTTTGAAAGCTATCTTTGGCACATCTTCCGCCTTCATCCTGATTTGATGATATCCTGACTTCATATTAATCTTCTAGAAAATCATTGCTCCACTTAACTCATCCAACAACTCATCAATTATTGGTATAGGAAATTTGTCCGGCATAATTTCCTTGTTGATTTCCCTATAGTCCACACAAAACCTGTAGCTTCCATCTTTTTTCTTCACTAGTAAGATTGGATTAGAGAAAGAGCTCACACTGGGTTTGATAATTCCCACCTCCAGCATCTCTCTAATCAACTTCTCAATCTCATCCTTCTGAAATTGAGGATATCAGTAGGGTCTGACGCTGATGGGTGACACACCTTCCCTCAAGGTGATGTCTTGCTCCTGCTCCCTCTGTGGTGGCAATCCCTGAGGTGGTTGAAATATCTAATGGAATTGATGAATCAGCGGCTAAATGGAGAGGGGTATGTCTCTTCCCTCTTCTAATCTAGCTCCCTCCAAACTGTGTTGCTCCTCCAAATATCCTCCACCCACCTCCTCTATAGTCCTGATCAAAGACTTGAGAGATACCCTAGTCTTTGACAACCTTTCATCACCTTTTTCTTCCCCCTACTACCAATTTCATTCTCAGTGTTCCCCAATTGACCTTGGTATCTCTCACGACCTGCAACCACTTTATCCCTAAGATGACATCAGTGCTCCCAAACTCAAAGGAAAGAAAATAATTCCTCACTTGTATCCCCTGAATGGTCAATATCACTCCCATACAAACTCCTCTATCCATTTCTACCTTTCCCGTGCCCATCATCACCCCATAACCTATTGTATCCACTAATTTCACCCCCATCAGATCAACAATCCGGGTGGAGATGAAATTGTGGGTTTCCCCACGACCTCTCTATCAGCTATCTCTCCCTTCACTTTCATAGTGTGATTCATAGTAAATACTACCATTGAGTTTAGGGAAACCTTCATCACATCCAGATGCAACTTCTCATCTTCCTCCATCTCTAACCCACTCCCACCTCCCTCTTCAGCTTCCTCGTCATCACAGACGGTGAAAATTTGAAGTGTTTGGTCCTTACACCTATGCCCTGGCATGTACCTCTCATTACATCTAAAATACAATCCCTTTACCCTCTTCTCATATATCTCCTTCTCAACCAGCCTTTTGAAATTTCCCACATTTCCCCCCTCCTCCAGCTCTCTCCTTGGGCACTTTCTTCAGACTTCTTGGCGCTGGCCCCTTGTGAGCTAAGAAGGTGTGGTGGTCATCCTTTACGATCCCCCCTGAGTTGCTCCCCCCAGCCCCTCTCTCTAGTTGTTTTTGATCCTCCACCAACTATGCTAGCTCCATGGCATCCCCCAAATCTCTTGGCCTTATCACCCTAACCACTGCCCGTATCTCCGATTTAAGCCCTTTCATAAAGTTCTTCTCTAGCACACTCTCAGAGAGCCAGTCTAATATGTTGGCCAAGCACTCGAATCTGTCACGGTACACCTGTGTTAAGGCAAAGAATTGCTCATAAAAGTCTCCTCCCTTTCCTGTTCGAAAACATTCTAGTAAGCACTCTTTGAACTCCATTCAGCTCCGGATGGGTTGCCTCATGTAACGCCATTGGTACCATGCTAATGCCTTCTCCTCCAAACATAGTCATGCTGCCGTCAGTTTCTCTTCCTATGTTAACCCGTTGACGGTAAAGTATCATTCCACCTTATAGATCAAGCCATGGCCATCCTCGTCCTCAAAGATGGACATCTTTTTCCTCACCTTCGGGTCATCCCCGTTACCTTTGAATGATGCATAACCTCCCATTCCGTGAAGAGGTGCTCCCTAGTTGTCACGATCTTCCCTCCGACGATCATTCCCAACCCCTCCAAAATCAAATTCCCCTCTTCTTCTTTCAAACTCAGCACCTTTGCGGTAAAAATCCTCCCTTCTCTCTACAAAATCAACAACCCTTCTTTTGAAACCTGTGCTCATCTCCTTCCTAGAAAGTGATTCTAGAGGAGGGATTCCCTCCTCACCCTCCAAGATCTCCACTTTTGGATTTCCCTTCTCCTAAATATGTTAGGGTTTCCACCTCTTCCATGACCGTTGATGGTTTCCTTTGCTTTCGATTTTGTCGGATTGGGTCTTCACTTCTAGCAATTTCTTCAACATCTCTTCCATCATGGCGAATTTCCCTTCCATCCTTTCATTATTGGATGAAATCTGATTTTGAACATCAGAAAAAATTTTCCTCCAAATTTGATTAAGTTGCCCAATTGCTCTTTTCGAAGCTTCAACCTTCTTCCCGGCCATGTTTCTTCCCAAGAATCACTAGAAGATCTTCTTCCGGATGAAATTTCACCATTGAAATTTTAGAATTTCAATCGCCGATGATCCCAAGACAACGCTTTGATACCAATTTGATAGGAAATACTTGAGTTTGCAAGAAATCCAAGAGGAAATACTTGAGTTTGCAAGCAACCCTAACAATAATTGATAAAAACAACGGAAATAATGCAGTAAGCTCGATGAAATCAATTGAAAATGATAGATTGTAATAGTGGATTCAAAGCAAAAGCAAAGACAAAGCAAGATACAATTGATCCTCGATTCGAGAGGAGGATCGTTCTCTCCTAATCTCTAGACGATGAGTCTAGAGCCCAAGACGGCAAAGAAACTTCAGGAGAACAAAAGAAACAAATCAAAGCATGACCCTAACCCTAATCCCCCTCCATACTTAAGGCATACAATTAATTATTAAAGCCAAATTACTCCCTTGCCCTTGCCGCCCCCTCTTTTGCCTCCAATTAGTTTGAATTTGAATCCCTAATGGGTCCCACTCCTTTCTCTCTCTCTATGCCGCCGCCTCTTCTCTTGTAGCAAAGAACCGACCTCTTTGAAGGGGCCGGTTGGAGTTGGGCCGGTCCACTAGGGACCGGTCTAACAGTATTTTAGCCAAATTTTGGGTTTGTGAGAAATTACAATTTCGAGTTTTCTTGGGTTATACATAGGACCCTAGAGCATGTGAAAATCCATTTCATGTTTAAAAGAATTTCATATATCATTTCAAACTTGTGTTATTGTATGCGATTTTTTTGAGTGTGACATATATCTTGATGATAAATATATGAGGAAGTTTATTGTTGTGGTCATGCAAGACTTGAATTATCATATGATTATTTTAATATTTTAAAAGAGTTGGGAATCAAAATGATCCTTTGATATAGGTTGGGACCATTTTGGTTCCTCATGAAGAATTAAAGGACCATTTTGATCCTTTTTTCATTTTGATTAGGTAAATGTCTTGAATGACCGATCATATGCGTGGAATGTATATTAATCGATCAACTGCCTTCATCCATTGTCTCTGTTTGAATTTTCTCTTTTTTTGGGTTAACTTTTAGGTGTTCTTGTTTTATTTCTATTTCTTGTTTTCTATACATCACACTATGCCCATATTTTGTTTTTTATTGTTCTCTCTATTTTTTATTGCTAAACACTTAACTTTATAGACTGTTGCCTTATGTTAGTCACCAAAAATCAAGCAGTTAGTTATTGTTTGCTTGCTTCATATTTGTTAATGAGTTAGGAATAAAAAACAGTTGTTAGATTTTTCTTTCAAGAAATTTATACCGTCAGACTTAACCATGGAGTGAGTTTATTCTTAAATACATGCATGTCATTTTGTTCACAGATATGGGGGATAGTAGCTGTTCTACCCAAATAATTGATGGAGATGGCGCATATAATGTCTCTGGAATGGAGAATTTCATGAAGACTATGGAACTTGGTGAATGTGTCTCATATGCTATAGTCTCCATAATAGGACCTCAGATCAGTGGTATGTTGCTTGGTTCATTCTTTAGATTAATTTTTCTATTTTTTATTTCTGCTATGAAAGTAACATTTCACAATTTGTTTAGGTATCACACATTATTGTTAATTGTATGTCTTTAGACTCTTCACTTTAATTTCATGGATTTTTTGGTAATTATTTGTACCTTTTCTTGCCACCCTTAAAGGAGAGAAAAAAATCATTTTCAGTCATCATGGCTCAATGCTCTGACATATAAAATTTTTCCACACAAGTTTTAAGAGATGAGTTATTGATATAGAATTTATGCAATTTTATTCGCTGCGGCTTATTTGTATATTTGAAATTTTTGTTCACTCATAGCAAAAGAAGGTAGAATAGGAATTTAGAAGTCAGGTTTTTTCCATCAGATTATTAGCTAGAGCTAGATTTTCCTAAATTATTGCATTTAATTATAAAAATATTTAGGACAGAGGAATAATTACATAAAATTTACATTCAAGCGGTAGCGGCTTGTATAAAAGGTGGGCAAAAGTTTGGGCTTGCCTTAGTCATCTTTTCTACGTGTTGTTTCCACGTTGCTTTTCAAATAATGTTTTGTAATATTATTTTGTGCGGTAAATATAATGAAAATCATAGCCCGATGTATGTCTCATAAGCATGATCATAAAAAAAGCACTTGTTGAGTTGCTTGCCAATCACTGTGAGAGTAATTGTTGCTTTGTTTTATATCATAATGCTCAACATGATATTTTATCCTGGCAAGCTATTTGTGACATAAATTGTCAACCGAAGAGAGGGCTTCATAAGTTGATACTTTATAATCAGTTGCATAAATGCTCATATTGTGCAGCCCTTGTCCTTAAAGGGTGTCTTTTATTTGCGCTGCTTTTGATTTGATAATCACTTTTATCTATTATCTATAATTAGAAATGATTTTCTTTTATTAACTTTTTTTCTTTTTTATCACTTAGGTGCTCCTCTATTTATGAAAAGTCTAAAAAAAAGGAAGCATCCTTAATCACTTGTGGTGCATTATTGATTTTGTATGATTTAGTTATAAAACATGGATGTTAGCTCTAGATCTATCGTGAAGTGCCCCCATTGTGATTTGAGTCACAAATTTGAGTCATGGAAAGTCTTTTTGCAATTATAAGGCTAAGTTTTTGCATATCAATTCCACCCAGACCTCACATTTCGGGAGCTTCATGGATATGACACTTAGTTACAAAACTTTATTATGGATTATTTGGATGCATTCATTTAATTGTCAATGTCTGTGTCATGCAATACCTTATGCTATTGTTTAACATTGTTTTTGACAAATACTGTCTGGAGGGTAATTTGTATTTAGATATATTTTTTTAAAATCTTTAAATAGCTTTAATTTTCACTCTTTTAATAGGAAAGAGCACTCTTCTCAACCATCTTTTCCATACAAAGTTCAGAGAGATGGATGCATTCAAGGGGAGGCAAGTTCTTATCATCTTTTGATATTTCGTAACTTAAATGTATTTTTAATGTGAATATATACTTATATTATTATTATTGTTATTGTTATTTTGTATTTCAGGTCTCAAACTACTAAAGGAGTTTGGCTGGCAAGGTGTGTGGATATTGAACCTTGTACTATTATCATGGATTTGGAGGGTTCTGATGGAAGAGGGCATGGAGAGGTAGCTTTAAGATTCGACTCTTTTGAGCATAATTTTTCTTAAATTGGGCATAAATTTTTTTTTTTCAATTTCATGTTTTACATTTAATTTCTGAATGCTCAATGTTCTAATTACACATTATTTAAATCTTTCTTAGTGATTTACATGTTTTCATTTTTCAAATCTTTCTATCAGAATTGTTCATCATAGATATGTGAATTTTTGTTTACTTGAAAATCAAAACAAATTGTAGCAATGAGCGTTGGTGTATTTATAATTTTACAAACAAAGTAAAATATTAGTCGATGTCAAATAATTTATAACCCTTGCATACAATTATAATCCTCTAAACTTATACTATGTGAAGTTGTTACTTTTTGACTTGGACAGAATAGGGTACCCTATGCTACTGCTAGAAAAAAAATTACATTCTTAGATTATTTCGACCTTGAATTTATGTTGAAAAAAATACCGCACATTTGTCAAATTGTGTCTCACATCGTTGGAGATGTTGAATTTAATAAAAATGCAAAAGCCTAAATCAAAAGCGTAGTTAGCATTATGGGCTTGGCTTCTCATGCAAGCAGTAAAGTGTTGCTTTAGTATGTTTCTGATATTTGTTGTGCATGGTACATCTAAATTGCTTCCACCATTTTGCAGTTCTTTAAACGTTTAAGTTGTAACTTTGATTTTTATGCCTTTTTCAGGATGATACCTCATTTGGTAAGCAGAGTGCTCTTTTTGCTTTTGCAGTTTCAGATATAGTATTGATAAATATGTAAGCCTTCTGATCTATTTATTTTATCTGATGATGCTTCAATTATTATTTTCTTATGATCATATCACAGGTGGTGTCATGATATTGGATGTGAGCACGCTGCTAACAGACCTCTTTTAAGAACTGTATTCCAAGTAAGCGTTGGTTCTATCTCTGATGGAACAATATAGTATTTGCTGTAGTTCACCTGAATTTACATTGCTGCTTTTCTTAATAGGTCATCATGCGATTATTTAGTCCTCATAAAACCACCTTACTCTTTATCATACGTGACAAGAATAAAGTGAGTGATATTTAACCATTTTGGTACTTTCTATTTCATGATATTTACTTATGCTTATTATGATATTTAGAATAAGTTTTTTTTGCATATACATCTGGAAATACTGAGCATGTTTGTCTTTACATGGGTAGACCCCTATAGAAAACTTGGAACATATTTTGAAGGAAGATATTCAAAAGGTACGTGTTATTTGTTGTTTTTCTTATCTTTTATATATCCAGTGTATTATTATTGTTTAGCATGCTTTTATTTTTATTTTTTGTTATAGATTTGGGATTCTGTTCAAAAACTATGTGAGCATATAAATACTCCACTCAGTGAATTTTTTAATGTAAGTTGAAACATTGATATAAGAAGTATCGTCTATCTCTGATGAATAGTGTTTTTTTTTTTTTTAATTTGGATCTATTTCAAACCATAGGTAGAAGTTGTTGCCCTTCCAAGTTTTGAAGAAAAGGAGGAACAGTTCAAGGAACAGGTAAATTTTGTTTTTGTTATTGCATTTTAAAGTCTCCCTTTCTTATTCATATCTTTTGTCTTGTGGAATGTTGAAAAAATGTCTGTGCCTAGTACTTGTTTCTTGGAAACATCATGACTATCATGAATTGTGAGATTTTTGGTACTGAGCATCTTAAACACGTTGTGCATTTGGAGAACCCCAATTTGTGTGGGTCTATGAAAAAAATTATTTTCTCTACTTGAGCATGTAAGCAGGGGACCACAGCTTCCAACTTGTCATATGCTTTGGAATGTAGTAAGCTGCATTTAAGTATAACATTGTCACATACTCATGTACTATTGTAATTTTAAATTTTTAGTTAATACCACTACCCTTTGCTGGTAGATGCTTCTTGGTAAATGCGATGTCATTGATTATTTGATTACCTAGTTATAACGTAAAAAGGGTGTGAATAGATCATGGAACATTTTAAAAGATTTTGGCAGAAGAGAATTGTAGAGATTTGATTTTCAGTAGTTTGTTGGAACTTCTCTAAATAGGCATTGTTTAACTCCTAAACCCCACCCTTCACCTTATTGCTAATGTAACCATTTTTGTTTAACATGTGTATGCATGCACCTTTTTGTGTTTTTTTCTTTCTTTTTTTTTTAAGATGTGGTGTGAGGGGTGGTACATGATTGTTTTGTGTTTATTTTATTTAATTATATTTTATTCATTTTTTGTTGGTTAGGAGTTGAGGTGGCACTCAGAAGTTGGCAATTGTAAAAAATTTGCGAGCGATGCTGCTGTGAAGAAAAAAGAAAAGAGCATGCATGTGCTTGGAGGGAAAGTGTGTGCAATGAAGAATAGGAAAAGATAATATATGAGTGACCACAATAATAGAAGATGGAAAAGAGCAAGGATAAAAAAGAAAAGAACTAAAATGTAAAGAGGATGATGAAATAAGATAGTATGAAATATTCACGTGGTTTTCTTACATTTGACACCAATCTTCTTTTTGTCAGAATTATGTGGCTAGAAAGTCAAGAATAATTAATCCCCGTTAAGATGATACTGGACCTACTACTCTTTTTGTAGAACATGCAACCCTTGCTTTAAAATTTGTTATTACAGTTTGATGGCCAAAATTGTGATTTTTTGATAGATTTCCTAACCACTTTCGACGCAAGAAACAGTGAGAACCTGCTGTCCACAGCAGGAATTGGCACAAAACAGTGGAAAAAAATAGCAAATCTGAGAGAAATAGTGGAGAAAAAGCTTGTATTTTACTAGTAGATGCAAGGAAAATAGCAAAGATACAAGGATCCTCTATTCGAGAGGAGGATCGCACTCTCCCAATATCTAGAATTCGATCTAGAGCCTAGCCACCAAAGAAGAACAAGAAAAACTTCAAGCAAATTCAACATAACCCTAATCTATCCTTTTCTCCCTACTTAAAGTATACAATTCAAAAATAACATAAAAGGACCTAATTACCCTTGCTTCCACTCCTTTTGGCTCCAAGATTCAATTTGAAAAGCAAGTGGACCCCACCCGATTGCCTCCTTGCGGTTTCCGGCTCCCTGTTGTTTCTGCCCGCCTTCTTCTCCCGTAAACGAACAGAGCCGGCCCAATGGATTGGGCCGGCTGGACCGGTCCTCTCTGGACCGGTCTAACATTTTTCCACAACCCTTAAACATTTGACTTTTTTCTCACAAGCTTAACTGAATAGTCCATTATCCGCCCTATTTTTTTAATGTTTCATAATATTTCATATGTTGTAATGCCTCTAATATGCATTCTTGCTCTAGATTCAGGCATTCATAAGGTTTTGTTATTATGTCCCTACAGGTTGCAAAGCTACGGAAAAGGTTTTTTCATTCTATTGCTCTTGGTGGGCTTGCTGGAGATAGACGAGGCGTTATTCCTGCATCAGGATTTTCTTTTAATGCACAACAAATTTGGAATGTTATAAAAGAGAACAAGGATATTGATTTACTTGCCCACAAGATGAGGGTTTGTTTATGACTTGTGAGTTTTTTTCCCCTTTGATATATCAATGTCTAATTTTGTCGCTGGCCTAATGTAGGTTATGATTGCTACTTTTCGCTGTGATGAAATTGCAAATGAGAAAACTTTATCTTTCTTGAATAATGAGGTAATTGGCCAAGAATTCCTCTCTATTTAGTTTCTAGTATGGGGCATGTTTTTGGCATTACTATCCATTTGAGCATTTGGACAGGAGTGGCGCCACCTTAAAGAGGCTATACAAAATGGTATTGTTCCAGATTTTGCGAAGAAGCTCAGCTCTATATTGGAGAACTGCTTGATTAGGTAATAAATTTTAGTTTTATGAATGTGAAATAATTATTTTTGCTGATCAGAGATTGTTAATAGGGTAAATTTAGTGAAAAGCTATCACAAAGATTTCATTTTTCTTGATTTAATATTTAGCTTATATTTAGGTAATTATTGGCAAATTAAAGGATAAATGTAATGATAAATGCCTTTTAAATATTTTTAAAGGTTAATGCTTCTAGAATGTAGGGTTGCTATTTCATAAAAGGTTGATCATCATTTTAAAAATAGATTTGATTTGAAAGCAGTCTAGTGGTTTATGCTCTTGAGAATTTAAAAACTTTTCGAGTTACATATTTTGCCTGTATAAGCTTGTATAAGTACGAACATGATCTTTCAGCTATATATAAATATTTTCTCTTGCTCACTCCCCTTCTACCTATGGAAATTTATCTTTAAAAATTTGGGCAATGTGCATATCTAATTTAGTGTTTATCTTGTTACTTGGCTTTAGCGCATTGTTACAAAATATTGGAAAGTTAGAGGGTATAACTAGATGTAACATTGTATGATGGTGTTGGGACGTTAAGATTTAAAAATTATGCGGGATCCATTAATAGTAGTTAATTTTGATATCTTTTGAAATTCTTTTATGTATTATTTAGCAATTTTGTATTTAATGATGGTTAATAATGTATTTATGATGGCCATCTTTTACAGAGTTTTTTCTGAAAATTTCAAAAACATAAATACATATGATATCTTTTGGTATTGGACATTGATATTCAAGAACGATTTATCAGAATATTTCACTCAGAACTACTGTTATTTAATCTTTTTTGGCTGAACAGTTTGACAATAAACTTCTGCCTGATTGGTTGTTTAGCTAGCTTACATATTATGATTTTCATCACAATAATTTCATAATTTCACTAAAAGCTTGATTTTTATTACAGTTATGACAAGGAAGCTGTATATTTTGATGATAGTGTTAGAACCTCAAAGAGACGACAATTGGAATCAAAACTTCTTCAGGTATTATCACAAAAAATGTTTTTCTGAGTGGATGCATACCAATATTTAGTTTGCATTTCAATCTCATGAGAAAATTTGGGAATCAAACAGCACGGTGAATATACTAAGTTTCTCGTAAAAGGTCAAGCTTCTCTGGTTGATCTGCATTCTTTGTTTTCATTGTTCTAATGGTAAAAAAAATTTTAGGAAATTATTGCATATACTAATTTTATTTTTAAAATAGAAATATACCGCATGTTTACTAAAATAAAATAAAATATGGCAACTCATTTTTCATTTAAAACCTCTTTAGTTTACTCAATCATTCATTCAATATGGGCTATTTGCTTTTAAAGTAGTGTTGTCCTCAAATGATCATAAACCAGAGGAATGTAACTACGAAGTGTGCAATTGTTTGTGTATGAAAGCACTAAAATAATATAATTTCCTTGTTAAATGAAACGACGTGCTGCTGAATAAAATGTGCGAGCAATTCTTAAACTTGCAAATAGCTATTTTTTCGTCCAGATACTTTACTATTTGGGATCATATTCCTACACCTTAATGAATTTTCACTTCATTGTGAGGTAGGATATTGATTAGAGCAACTTTGCCCATATGAACTAGGGAAACTGTCTTCAATGAGATATTCTTCTTTTGCTCAACAATTGCATCCTTTTTGCAACCCCTGGAATTTTATGGATGTTATTTCGAGGCATGATCAAATTATTGCCCCTGGTCATCTGAGCAAGTGAGCTCTCCTTCTATAATATTCACAATTTTAAATCCTATGTGTTTTTAATCGTTTTGCTAATAATTTCATATCACAAATGGACCTTTGGTTTGATTTGGTTTTGACCATTTGTTTGTTGATTCAAAAGCTTCAAATGTGTCTATGTTGTTGCTGAGAAATATTGTTTTAGAAAATGATGGGCAAGTTCTGTATATTGTAATATGATCCAAGTTGACCTTCTTAATTGTTATATAATATCTTTTTTTAAGTTTTGTAACTGCAGTTTATTCAACCTGTTCGGGATTCCATGATATCGCATCTACAATACAAAGCTGTAGAAGATTTTAAAGTTAGATTTGATAAGGCTCTGAAAAGTGGGGAAGGTTTTTCGGCTGCTAAGAAGAATTGCTTTCAGTCTGTCATGATTGCATTCGGTGAAGCCTGCGAAGGTAGCTTGCTAGAAATTTTAATTAGATTTATTGAGCTATACATTATCACAATTGTTTGCATTGTTGAATGAATGAATACAACTTATTTAATATTTTCTTTTTCTTCTATGTTTTTGCAAACATTATATTCATGGAGATTTGTCTCAATGCATTCTTTGTATAGTAGGTATGAACAAGACAGTGCTATGATTCTTAGTTGGGTAATTGTTGCTTTTAAAAGAGCTTGCATGTACTTAAATGTACAGTATTGTGCTCCATATAGGAGGCAATAGATTGAGGTTTCTTTAACAAATAGTTGTTTTATTTCCTTAGCAATCTTTCTTTAGCTTAATTTTGATTGATAATTGAAGAATGCTGAAATACTGATGCAGGCTTTGAACAAGCAATTCGGAACTCTTTAAGAGTAAAAGAATATGCCAAAAGTGTGGTTGAATCCAAGGACAAGGAAGAAGCTGATTTAACGCATATGAAGGATAGGTAATTGTTTTCTTGAAGTCTTACTTGCGGAAGATCTCCTTTATTCAATTTGTGTAATTGTATGCATATGTTTACATAAGATGAAATAAGGGTTTGTGGAAATCAGTATTTTGCTAGGGATTTTATAGAGTGAAACTTGGGCTCAAATTCACATAAGTTGCCATTCCAATACCTCTTGATTGGTAGTTAAGAACTTTTAACATATAGATCAATTACTAAAATTTTAAAAATTAAATAATATACAAAAATTTTAAATATTATTTAATTAATTCAAAAATTTTTATAAAGAAATACAATAAATTAATTTATCATTACAATTAATTGTTACTTAATTTACAGTTATACTCAATTTAAAATAAATTTGTTAAAGATTTCAATAAAATAAAAATAAAAAATATGATTGTAGACAAAGTTGGTATTGTGAAAATTTTCTATTAGACTATTCTAATGAAAATGATAATGATAGAATTTAATGTTTTTATATGTGATTTTAAATGAGTATAATATATATTACATTCATCTTAGGAAAATTCAAAGATTTTACTATTAATCATAAGAAAAAAACCTTAGTCTGATTATAATGACATTTTTTTCTTACTATCGTAAGAAGTTAAATATTCAATGTTCTTAATCATAAAACAAATGTAAAAATAATAGTAAAGATCATGACATAAGAGATCTTACTCCTTGCTATTGTAGAGGTATTAACATTTTTACACGTACGTTTTCAAGAAAAGAGAATCAGAGAGCCTAGCCAAATCTAAATATTTTTTCTAATATATTTTATTTCATTATAAGTGATGTCTCATTTTCTATAATTAGGATATATATTAATTAATGTCATTAAAAAAAACGCATTGACTCTTCAACCCAACTCAAACTTTTTATTTTAAATCATTAATCTAAAACATATGATTAATAAGCTAATAAAATATATTTTTAATTAAAATAGTGTTGACTCCATTAGTGTTGGTGCAGGGTTGACCTTGGAATTGTTTGACAATTTATTCGGCTAAGAAATCATCATTTTGTTTCTTTGTTAAAGAAGATAGTTTGAGAGATGTGCTATTGGTTTTGATGCCTGTAAGAAACTGGTTAGTTGTTTATGCATAGATGTACATGATATGATTAACATTAAGCAATTACTGCCGTTCTAAAAACATGAAAAATAATTGCTGGGAAAGTAGAAATAAATTTTTACAATCAAATTTGCTATAGTGTGGTTACTATAAGAAAGATATTGTATAATTTTTTTCAAAAATAGTTGTTAGTAGTCAATAAAGCATCCCTAAGAAAAGTAATAGCCAAAGTTTTAAGTATTTGTTCTATAGTATATTATCAAGGATTTGCATTGTTGGTAATGGAAATATACAAGGAAGAAGAAATGCTCCTATCAGTGAAGCCCATCCTTCTTATAATCCTCCAAACATTTTCAATTGCCATAGAACATCAATGAAGATTTTGAGGATTTCTTTGGTTTAAGGAATTCACTTGAAATAAGGTTTCATATGATATTTTTTTGAGGAGAGGGTTTATTTTTTCTTGTAAGGAGAAAGGATGTGAATCAAAATAATACATTGAGATAATCAATTGAAACTAGAAAAAAAAAAAAACTAATCTCAATGCAATGGTAACTTAGGATGCTTGCATAATGCTTGTATAGTTTCGTGCGTACATGCGAGGGTAAAATATATAAAAGCAATATCAGACCGCGGACCACTACAAAAAAGTATTTTAATTCCTGCTTTCACGTTTCGACAGATAATTATGCTATTACCAACATGTCTTAGAAAAGCAGTTTTGTCAAACAAATATTTTTTTTCTACTTTATTAGTGGTAGACTAAAAGAGCAGTGGAAATTGACAGACAAACAAATGGTCTAAAGTTTTTTTTTTTTTTGAAAATCTCATTCACTTTTACTAAGCGGTGGATGTTTTTTTTTTAATAATTTATTAATTTAATTAAGCAAAATAGATAATATATATCATCTAGTAATTTAACTAATACTTTAATTATTAATTACAATACTAATTATCAATAATTAACTATTAAATTATAAGTATAAATATTAATAATTGAATAATTAATTATTCAATTATTATTTCTACAATTAATTATTTAAGTGCTATTTATCTAATTTTTAATTAGTGAGTATATTATTAATTATTTAAATAGTTTATTACTAATTAATCAAAATGGTAATTATTTAATTAAGAATTTATTTTTCATTTAGTATTTGATTACTTACTAATTATTAATTATCTTACCTCCTATAAGCCATATGCCTACATAAGGTTTGCTTTTTCTCTTCTCATTCCTTAGAAGTTAATTAGATCATTATTGTTAAATTAATGATTTTTGGTATAGATTTTTACAATTTTTTATTTTTAAGAATTTTTTGTTTAAATAATGATATGAAGAAATAATATTCTTCAATTAATGGGCTATTAGTTATCTTTGATATTAGTTTATTTTATAGAGATCTTGACAGTTAGAATAACTTTTATAATTCTCTTTGTTAAAATGTGGTAGCTATAAAGAAATTGTTATTCAATCTTTTTAAAGATTTGTGATAAGTAAATAAAAAACAAATTGTTTATTTGTATTGTTTAAAAAAAAAAGGTGGTGAGTTATATTTGTATTGTTTTAAAAAAAAGTGGTGAGTTATATTTGTATTGTTAAAAAAAAAATTATATATTAGTTAAGTAAATAAAAACAAATTGAGACTATACCTAAATGTTTACTAAAGTTTTCATTTTATTCGCTTAATTTACTACGTGAACTGGAAAAACAAATTAAAATGTCATAAAAAAAGAATCGGATTAAAAAAAATAGGTAAAAATGTGCTAACAGAATCCTTTTAATAATCCCTTTTAATAATTGATAGAAACAAAGCCACATCTCCAAAAATATAATCCACAAAAGGACTTCGAGTTTTGTACTAAAAAAAAGAAAATAAAAGCCTAAAAGGAGGGTTAAATTTAAAAGAAATCGAACAAGTCAAATATATACGAGTGGGGGAGCCGCCATTAGCGGCCAGAGAAGGGGTGAGACAAGGTTTTAACCATTTCTTGCCCCTTAAGGTTCAAGTCAGTTGGAAGTGGCATCAGAGCTTAAATCCACTAAAATTTGATACCATCTACACTATGAATGAGCATTCAAAATCCTCATATCCACTTGCTTTGTATTCAAGAACAGTTAAAAACATTTTCTAAGAGTTTTTCACACCCCTCGCTAAGCTCAATCAAGTGTGTAAGGCCTTTGTTGATTTCCACCATGGCATAGGTGATAGGAAGGTAGATGGGAAAAAAAAATATAAGCCATAGAAACACTTTTAATTGAGGAGTATTTTTTGCTCATTAGATCCCAAAATGAGCTACTGCCATGATAACATATAAGAAAGAAGGGGTTGTGGAAATCCCAAAGTAGAGGAGAAAGAGAGGAGAGAGTAAGCGCTTTAAAAATTCAATAAAAAAATGAAGGAAAGCCATCTCAAACAATCATTTTTTGTAAATTAGAGTTTGATTATTTTTTGGTGTCTGATTGACATTTTAGATAATGAATTATTCTTTCATAACTAATAACTACTATTAAAAAAAAAAAAAACTACTATTTTGAAAAAAAATATTGATTACCCATTTTATGATTATCTATTAGAATAAGTCGAACTTGTTATGAATTTTCCTGAATTTTAAAGCATTTTAATTTTAACCTGATGACCTCGTCAATTGAAACATCTCACTTTTTGTTAGACCTAAAGCATGCATTATGCAGAACTGTGCAAGGCCATAGTTAATATATAATGAGACATCTCTTTCAAAATGCAATGGCTCATCTGGAAGCCCTCTTCAAAATTTTCAAATTTTCGGCGATGCTAGATTCAAAAACAACTATATATAGATACTAATATGAAAATCAACAATATTTGTGTGGCCTTTGCGACCACGTGTGTTATGAAAATAGGGTACAATATATGACTTAGACTTCGTTTGGGACGGCTTTTTTATTGCTTTCTAAAATGGAGTTTTAGTACAAATTTTTTATTTTTTTTATTAAAACTCCGTTTTAAAAAACAGTAAAAAAGCCGTCCCAAATGAAGCCTTAGTTAACTCAATATGACAATATGAGAGTTTAGAACACCATGAAGACTATTGATGTCAGTGGGCATACAGTTGCTATATGGGAGCTTATTGACTCTATATGACATGGGAGTTAAGGACTCCAAGAAGACTATTGATGTTAGTGGATCAATTCTTTCTAACTAGAGAGGAAACCATGCGGAGCATATGAGCTTACTTAAAATGTCCTTTATCCTTATTACATATATGAAAATTATAATATTTTCTATGTTATCATCATTCATAAATTTCAACAAAAACACTTTTGAAGGTAAACACTAAATGGATTATTCTTTTCTATTTTCATAGAAAATTTATCCTGGTTGGTTTACTTCCCTAGCTTGGATAGGCATAATCTAAAAAAAGTAATAAAAAATAATGGCATGAATGTTGATTTGTGTATGTTAGGTTTAGGGGTTATAAATAAATTATAATCAAATTTATGCACCAAGAGAGGGCAAGGTTCGAGTAAGAAACGAAGGTTTCGTTTGGGACGGCTTTTTTACGGCTTCTTAAAGCAGTTTTCTAGTACAAAAATTAATATTTTTATACTATAAAGTTGTTTTAAGAAGTAATAAAAAAACCGTCCCAAACGAAGCCTAAGTTTACTATTACTATTTATATTTAGGGATTTTTACATACATAACACTTAAAACTATGTTATTTACTCATTTAACACCTAAAGTTTTCTATTTACACACATACCACTTAAAACTATTTCTCATTTCTAAAAAACCACTCCGTAACCA